GCGGGCGAGGGCGCGGGCGACGCAGCGGAGGGCGCGGGCGAGGAGGAGGCGGCAGCGCGCGAGGCCGTGCCTGGCATCGCCGACGGAGCCGGAGCCGGAGCCGACGGGGGTCCCTTCCGGCCCGAAGGGGCTGGCGGTCTTGGAGACATGGGTGACATGACGCCGGCGGAGCCGCCCACGCCCGAGGGCTCCCCCATCCTCAAGAGGAAGCTGGGGGTGAGAGGGCAGGCGGGACTTCGGGGAGATCGGGGGTGGGAGGGAGGAAGAGAGACTCGGGGACGGGGACGGGGTTGGGTGGAGACGCACGAGAGAGCAGAGACGTGGCCAGAGCGAGCCTGAGACGCCTGCAGAGACGGAGACCCTCAGGGAGAGACACAGGGGTAGAGGGCCACAGAGAAAGAGCCTCGGAGATGGAGGCCTGGAGGAAGGGAAAAAGACACCTGGAGAGCTGGAGAGAGCAAGAGACCCAGAGACCAAAGTAGAGGGGGAAAAAGACCAGGACTACAAAGACCCAAGACAGGGTCAGGGACGCTAGGAACGACCCTCAGACACACACAGTTGTGGGGGAATGAAGTAGCCCACGTGGGAAAGGCGCGCGAAGCATGCTCAGGCCCTTGGTGCTGTGATGCCATGGTGGGGTGCGGTTGCCAAGGTGATGGGAAGGCATGGAGGAGAAGAGCTCCATTTGGAGTCGGCCTGATCCTGCACAGTGCTCTGGGCAAGGCTCTCCACCTCTCTGAGTCTCAGTTTCCTCTTTGTAAAATGGGACTCACGATCTTCCTTCCTCCTGGTGGGGCAAGTGTAAAACTTAGATTACCCAGAGGAAATGAAGAGAAAGGGAGGCAGAGGAGAACAGGCAGATCGGCACTGAGAAGCACTTGGGGTGCGGCTCGGCCCTCATGCCTACCCCGCCTGCCCGCAGGTGGATGGAGTGGAAGAGGAGCTGCCTCCAGAACCGGAGCCTGAGCCCGAGCCGGAGCCTGAGCCCGAGCCAGAGAAAGCAGAGTGAGTGCCTCCCTCGTGGACTGGGAGCCTCCTGAGGTCAGGGCCCAAGGCTGTCCTGGTCACCCTATGTCCTCAGCATCACCCAGCCCAGACCCAGGCACAGAGGAGAGGCTCCATGAAAGGGAATAGAGAAATGAATACTCCCTTCTTACTGCCAGGCCTTTGTGTGTGTCATTTCCTCTGCTGGGAACACCTTTCCCGTGTGCTTTATCTGAGTCTTCCCCATTCTTTCCATCCTGGCTCACATGTCTCCCTCAGGAAGCTTACATTGATATCTGCTGCCCTCCTAAGTTGAGGAGGTGTCTCCTCCAGGTTTTCACAACCCCCTCAGTTTCCCTCAGCCCAGTCCCGATTACTCTGGGCTGTCGCTGCCTGATGACACTGTCACTGTCCGTCTCCCCCATTGGACTAGAGCCCAAGGAAGACAGGGCCTGAGGTTGTCTCATCACCCTGTGTCCCCAACACCATCCAGACCTGAGCCAGGCACAGGGTGGACCTCCAGTGAATGGCTTTGAATGAACAAAAGAATGAATGGCCAGCTACCCCCCCCAAAAAAAAGAATGAGTGATTTGCCCAGGTATCTCCTGACTTCTCTGTCCTCTGCCATCCAGTGCTGAGAATGGGGAGAAAGAAGAAGTCCCCAGGCCCCCACCGGAGCCCCCCAAGAAGACAGCACCTCCTTCACCCCCTCCAAAGAAGGAGGAAGCTGGAAGCGAATTCTGGGCAGAGTTGGAAGTGCAGAGGGTGAAATTCTTGGTAAGGACCCAGCAAGGGCATGCTGAAACTTCTTCTACGGAGACCCACTTCCCACACCTACCTCCTCCCCCTGCCCTGTTCTGGAGCTCCCCTGTACCAGGCTCATCTCTGAGAGGAACACAGGCTGGGGAGAGGGCAGCAATGTCTACAAACACAGCCAGGACCTGGGCATAGGGCAGCATTTTCAGGTGGCCCTCACCTGACTCCTCACCCTCTCCCTGCTCATGATCCTGATTCCAACTCCACACCTGTGCTCATCTGGGGCCCCCTGCTCACCCCTATCCTCTACGCACAGCTAAATTCAACTGAGGCCACTGCCCTAGTCTTCCAGCCATGGCCTGTTTCTTGGCTCTTAGCCCTTTGGGCCTGAGCCCCCCACCCCAGCCCCAGCTCCGCCTGTGGAGGTATGAGTTCTCCCCATTCCTGGGGAAGAGCTCATCTCCTCACGCGGGCCAGGAAGGAGGGAGGGCATTCGGGAGGCAGGGCCAGGGCTCCATCTGTTCTGTCCTCTCCCCAGGCCCAGCCTGCTGTGTGGGGGTGAAGGAAGCATGTAGGACAGAAGGTGGTTCGGTGAAGATTTGTGGGAAGAATGAGGGGTGGTGGGAAAAGTGGAGAGAAAAAGAGGAAGGGAGAGGTGGAATAAGATGGCCCTTGCCTGGGGAAAAGCAGATAGGGTAACCTCACGCCAGAGGCAGCATGTGAGTGCTTGGGAGTGTGCACTCTGAAACCCGATTGCCTGCATTCAAGTCCCAGGACTGCCACTCTTTGTCTATGTTACCTTGAGCAAGACACCACCTCCCTGAGCCTCAGTTTCCTCATCTGTAAACTGGGCATAACATCAGTACCCACTTCATAGGATTGTGGTAAGAATTAAACAAATTCATGCATATAAAGCCCTTAGCCGGGTCTTGGTATACAGCAAGCCCTCAATAAATAGGAGATTGTGGACCGGATATTGAGAACCCAGGTAGTTTGACTGTGGGTAAATAATGGGATGAATCTCCAGGGAAGAGGCCGGACTGTGAACTCTGTCTTTCTCTTTCTCTCCTCCCTCAGAACTACCTCTCCCGGAACTTTTATACCCTGCGGTTCCTTGCCCTCTTCTTGGCATTTGCCATCAACTTCATCTTGCTGTTTTATAAGGTGCTGGTCATGAAGGACTGGGAGAAGCAGGCCCTTATCCAGGCTGTGGGGCAGGAGGCTTAGCCCCCCCCCCATAGGGTCCCAGGGCCCCTCAGTGAATGGACAGGGTGTTGGGCTTGGGGTTCTTAGGAGGGTTCAGGCTGGACATCTGGATCTTGGGACCCTCATGGGGGTGACTGGGGGCATCTGGGTCCAACTGGGTCAGACATCCAAGTATCTGTGAAAGTTGGAGTAGGAGAGCGACCTTGGTTCCCTGCGCAGCTCTGCTACTTGCTAGCCCTGTGTGCTGGGTGCAGGCTCTCGCCTCTGCAACACCTACTGATTCAACACCTTTGCCTTCACGTAAGCTAAAGAAAAGTTTGTGGGGAGGAGGAAATGGGCAGCTCACAGAATGGAAGGAAAGGGCTAAGAGCCAGGCCTCCTGAAGGACAAAGGGACCCTTGGGGTCTTGCCAGGGGTTTAGGTAACAGGACAGAGACAGACTAGAGAGAGATCAGAGTATGACTTTGGTGGGATCGAGTCCTGGCTTCACCACTCACTGGCTGCACGATGTTAGGCAAGGTGCTTAACCTCTCAGTGCCTCAATTTCCTCATCTGTAAAATGGCATAGTAACAGTGTCTACCTCTTAGAGCTGTGGGGATTAAAAGAGGATTACTATGTGTAAAGCACTTAGTATAGTACTTGGCATATAGAAAGTGCTGTATAAATGTTAGCTACTGCTAATTTTGGTATAAGTGTTAATATTAGTGGTCGGTCTCTTTAGGGCTCCACTATCAAGATGAATTAACTCTGTTTTCAGTCCGCCTGTCACTCAATTCAATAGGCAAAGTCCCAGGACAGAATCTGATTTGTTAGCTAAGGTCCTGGGCCTGCACCTCAATCTTGATTGACAGTCCTGCTTTGACTGTATCTGCTGTGGCCCCAGTCCAATCTCAGGAGTGGTGACTGTTTTGTTAGTGGGGTCTGGGTGTGGCAGGCCAGGTGCCAGGACACTGGGGTCCTGCTCTGACTGACCTCTGTCCCACTTCAGGTCTCAGATTCTCCACCAGGGGAGGATGACATGGAGGGCTCAGCAGCTGGGGACCTGTCAGGTGCAGGGTCTGGTGGCAGCTCTGGCTGGGGCTCAGGGGCCGGTGAGGAGGCAGAGGGCGATGAGGATGAGAACATGGTGTACTACTTCCTGGAGGAGAGCACGGGCTATATGGAGCCTGCCCTGCGGTGCTTGAGCCTGCTGCACACACTGGTGGCCTTTCTCTGCATCATTGGCTACAACTGCCTCAAGGTGGGCCATGGCCATGGTTCTGGGGTAGGGGGGCTTGTGGAAGGGAAGGAGGTGGCTGAGAGGACGTGGGACAGGGGGTCCTCACAGTGGCTTGGACAGAAGGGACCTGGGTTGGGATACAGGCTGGGAAACTGGGTACAGGATTGGGGTCTTCAGCGAGGATGATATTCAGAGTGGGAACTGATGCAGATCATAGCTGAGGAACTGATCCTGGACTACGCTCTTGATCCTTAACTATTGGATGAACGCAGTCCTTTGGGCTTAACACTTTTGCATATGCTGTTGCCTCTGCCTGCAATTCTTTGCCCCCCTCCACCCCTTGATACCTGCCTCTGTTTTATTTTTCCCCCATCCCAACCTGACCCCTCTGCCTGTGCCTCCCCATCCCACCCTGACCCCTCTGCCTGTGCCTCCCCATCCCACCCTGACCCCTCTGCCTGTGCCTCCCCATCCCACCCTGACCCCTCTGCCTGTGCCTCCCCATCCCACCCTGACCCCTCTGCCTGTGCCTCCCCATCCCACCCTGACCCCTCTGCCTGTGCCTCCCCATCCCACCCTGACCCCTCTGCCTGTGCCTCCCCATCCCACCCTGACCCCTCTGCCTGTGCCTCCCCATCCCACCCTGACCCCTCTGCCTGTGCCTCCCCATCCCACCCTGACCCCTCTGCCTGTGCCTCCCCATCCCACCCTGACCCCTCTGCCTGTGCCTCCCCATCCCACCCTGACCCCTCTGCCTGTGCCTCCCCATCCCACCCTGACCCCTCTGCCTGTGCCTCCCCATCCCACCCTGACCCCTCTGCCTGTGCCTCCCCATCCCAGCCCTGACCCCTCTGCCTGTGCCTTCCCATTTCTGCCCTGACCCCTCTGCCAGTGCCTCCCCATCCCAACCTGACCCCTCTGCCTGTGCCTTCCCATTTCTGCCCTGACCCCTCTGCCTGTGCCTCCCCATCCCATCCCCGACCCCTCTGCCTGTGCCTTCCCATTTCTGCCCTGATTGCTCTGGGAAAGATCTTCTAATGTGGTGTCTCATGCAGGTGACAGCAAGATCTCGTGGCTTCTGCTGAGGCTGTGGTCTCACTGAGGTGCCTGATGCCCACCCCTTTGTCTCTCTCCACAATCTAGGTGCCCCTGGTGATCTTTAAGCGGGAGAAGGAGCTGGCCCGAAAGCTGGAGTTTGATGGCCTCTACATCACGGAGCAGCCTGAGGATGATGACGTGAAGGGGCAGTGGGACCGACTGGTGCTCAACACGCCGTAAGGGCATGGCCCCCACCTCAGGGTGGCCAGGGGAGCGGAGTTATACTTCCACCCCAGTCCAGACCTGGACCTCAAAAAACCAGGGTTCCAGTCCCTGCCGGCCCTGCCTCATCCTCCCCAAGCCTTAGTCTTCCTCTCCATAAAATAGACACATTTCTTATGCATTAAAGTACCTATGAGGATGTTGGGACACATGGAGGTTCCTGGGCCCCAGCCCTGGAGGTTCTGGCTCAGTGAGTCTGGGGTAGAGCCTAGGAACCTGCATTTTAAACCCTGCCCTCAGGTGTGAGTCTCACCCAGGTGCTCTGAGTGGGAAAGAAAAAATCATTTTGTTTTTAAACTGGACCCAGGGAGGGGATGAGGGTGCATGAGGGCAATGTGGGGGGATTCCGGACCCCCAATCCACACCCCCAGCCCAAGTCCCATTTCCCCCAGATCAAGTCCCATTTCATTTGTTTACACAGCAGGGCTGCATTGTTAGAAGGAAACATCTCTAGAATAAGAACTCCAGGTCAGATTCGAACCCTGGGTTGACCACACCCAAGCTGGGAATTCTTGGTCAAGTCACTTAGCTTCTCTGTGCCTCAGTTACCTCATCTGTAGAGTGGGGATAAATAATAACAAGGATCTTGTAGTGATTAAATGAGTTAATATAGTTTCTGGGACACGGTAAGTTTTAGATGAGGGTTGGACATTATTATGGGGTCCTGCCTAGTAGAGGAAGGGAGATAAGCCACACTGAGCACATCCTACAGTCTCACTGTCATTGTCAAAGGCACATGTAACTTACACACATTCAGGTACATGTGTTTAACAGAGAGAGAGAGCTGTTTAAAATAGTGTCCACTTAGGGCCGGCCCGTGGCTCACTCGGGAGAGTGCGGTGCTGACAACACCAAGGCCCCGGATTCGGATCCCATATAGGGATGGCCGGTTCGCTCACTGGCTGAGCGTGGTGCTGACAACACCAAGTCAAGGGTTAAGATCCCCTTACCGGTCATCTTTAAAAAAAAAAAAAAAGTGTCCACTTGAAATTTGGCTCCTATATACCACTTCCCATGAAAAGAAACCAGGCTCCTTGGAGAAACGGCAGCCTTCAGGGCTGGGGCAGGGGACATACAAGATGAGCATGGATTGTCTTGTTGGGTCATAAAGCAAGGATAAAAACAAAGAAGAAAAAAAAAAAAAGAAAGAAAGTAAGGATATGCTCCATGAAAATGGGGACATGCTGGAAGGAAACAGAAGCCAGCTAGAAGGGGCTCCCACCAGACAAATCAAGGACAATTTGAGCATCAACAGGGCTAGGAAGTGCGGTGAAATGAAACAATTTAAATAGGTCTAAATCCTTGAATTCATAATAAATTTTCACTCTACCCCCTCAAAAACAAAACATATTGGCCACCTTTGCAGGATGCTAGGTCATCAACTTGTCACTCAGAACGCTGGCAAATAGGTTCGCTCACTGGCTGAGCATGGTGCTGACAACACCAAATCAAGGGTTAAGATCCCTTTACCAGTCATCTTTAAAAAATAAAAAAGAACACTGGCAAATAAAGGGCCAGAATCATCAAAGTGAAATAATACAGCGTGTGCCACTGGGATGGGTGTGGTGTCAGGCTGCCAGCTTGGACGCCTCGCCACCCATCGCCGTACAAGAGCTTCCCACCAGAGTGCAATTCTGGTGTTTTTTTGCACACTTGCCTCTAATGCAAATCCCCTGCCTCACCCAGCTCCACCAAAGATGGCAGTGGGGTCCCCGTGGTGTGGGGTCCCCTTTAAAGAAAGCATTGGAATTTTAAACCCTGGCCTGGCTGGTGGCACTTGATCCCTTCTGCTGTGACATCTCACAGTCATTTTCTCTTGGCAGGTCTTTCCCCAGCAACTACTGGGACAAGTTTGTCAAGCGGAAGGTGAGAGGACGTGAACAGGGAGGTGGAAGAGCCTCCTGGGCTGGGTCCCTTGCTGCCACCAGGTCATACCAGCTTTGCCGACCACTTGCTTTGTGTGTGACTTTGGGCAGGGGGCATTGCCTCTCTGAGGAGCACCTCAGTTTCCCCATGGGGAAATGGACATGACGATCACACTTCCCTCTCCTGAATGAGACGATATGTGTAAAGTGGATAGCACAGTGCCTGGCACAAAGTGAATATCGATAAATATTTGTTGGAGGGAGGAAGTGGGCAATGCTGTTTTAAGCACTCAGTTAAGCACACAGATTCAGGAGCCAGACTGCCTGCTTTTCTACTCCTCGCTTGTGAACTTTTCTGTGCCTCAGTTTCCCTCATGTTCGTAGTGGGGTAATAATAGGGCCAACCCTACAGAGTTATTGTAAGGATTATATGATCTATTATGTGAGCAGAAACTTGCACATAAGAAAACTCTAGATAAAGGCGTTGGCTGTTACTATCATTCATTCACTCAGTAAGTGTTTATGGAGCACCTGTTGGATGCCAGGAACTGTTTTAGGAAGTTGGGATCCAGCAGCAAACAAAACAGTGATTCTGACATTCCAGTTGGAAAGATAGATGATGAACACTTTGACAATGTGCAGGTGGTGATAAGTCCTGTAGAAAAAAATAAAGTGCTGGGCCGGCCCGTGGCTCACTCAGGAGAGCGTGGTGCTGATAACACCAAGTCAAGGGTTAAGACCCCCTTACCGGTCATCTTTAAAAAAAAAAAAAAAGAAAGTGCTTGTAACACCGAGGTCAAGGGTTCAGACCCCCATACCGGCCAGCTAAAAAAAAAAAAAAAAAAAAGAAAGAGTGGCGAAGAGGGTTGGGGTGTGTGTTAGCCAGGAGAGATCGCTCTTTTATGTAGGGTGCTCAGGAAAAGTCACACTAGTTGATAAGGAGGTGAGGGAATGAGCCAGGTGGGAATCAGCCCGTGCGAGGGGCCTGAGGCAGGAGTGTGCCTGATGTAGCTCAGGAACTGTGAGGAGGCCGCGTGGCTGGAATAGAGTGAAGGGGGGAGTGGGAGGAGGGAAGTTCACAGACAAGGGGGCCTAATTACATGATTCTTTGTGTACCTATGTAAAAGTAATAAATTGTAATTAATTTGGCTAATGAATCAGCTGGGCCTTTATCACTTTTGGACTCTTCCCCTGAAGATCTGAAGAAAGCTCTGGCCCTTCTCCCCAGAAAAATGCACCCCCAATTTCTCTCACAAAGTTCAGAGTCCCCAGGACCCCTCCATGGGCCATGACATTCACCCCCACTTCAGACTTGCCTGCATGGCCTGACACTTTCTTGGGCAGGTCCTGGACAAACATGGGGACATCTACGGGCGGGAGCGGATTGCCGAGCTGCTGGGCATGGATCTGGCCACGCTGGAGATCACAGCCCACAACGAGCGCAAGCCAGACCCGCCACCAGGACTGCTGACCTGGTGAGCCAGGGCTGATGCTGCACAGGTCTGGGGCAGGCAGGGAGGTGGCCAGCGTCTGACCCGCAGGCACTGGCCATCTCCCCACCACTCCCTGCACACAGGCTCATGTCCATCGATGTCAAGTACCAGATCTGGAAGTTTGGGGTCATCTTCACAGACAATGTGAGGAGGGGCCCATGGATGGGGGAGGGACTCAGCAGGGTTGGGGCATTAGGAGGGTTGGGGGCTCCACCCCAGATGTCCCCGACCAGAGAATATACCTCTGATCCTGTGCACCTCTAATCCTAGGGTACCCTCTGGCGTTCCCCAAGGCTCCTTGTCCCCCAGAACATCCTTTGACTCCCTTAGAGTGCTTTTGGGCTCCCTGACAACTTCCTTCTGCAAAGGGTTCCCCACCTCCCCTCCGATACCTTCTCACCCAGAGTGCTCCATTACTCTCCTGTACTCCTGGTCCCCCACATACTCCCTAACCAGAGGTGGTACCCTGATCCCCAGAGCACTCCCGGCCCTCCCAAGTGCTCCCTGCCCCCTGGAGTGCTCCCCGGGTGCCCCTGCATGCTCCCTGACCCCTCCCTGTGTGTCCGCAGTCTTTCCTGTACCTGGGCTGGTACATGGTGATGTCCGTCCTGGGACACTACAACAACTTCTTCTTCGCCGCCCACCTCCTGGATATTGCCATGGGGGTCAAGACGCTGCGCACCATCCTCTCCTCTGTCACCCACAATGGGAAGCAGGTGTGGAGAGGACCTAGATAAGGGACATGAGCCTGGCAGGGAAGAGCGTGGTAGTCTGGGTAGGGGTGGAGGGGCGAGGGCCAGGAAGCGGGGGTGAGGGTGGGGACAAGGCTGGGTGGGCCGAGCCCGGGCAAGTGTGGGCAGTGAGGCCCAGGGGGTGAGGGCCACACGGCCACGGGCACATGGGTAAGGATTCAGAATGGGCACGGGGGAGAGGAAAGCTGAGTGGAGCTGACCCGCCCCTGCCTGCCCCCAGCTGGTGATGACCGTGGGCCTCCTGGCAGTGGTGGTCTACCTGTACACGGTGGTGGCCTTCAACTTCTTCCGCAAGTTCTACAACAAGAGTGAGGATGAGGACGAGCCCGACATGAAGTGTGATGACATGATGACGGTGAGCCCGTCCCCCAGCACTCTGGGGCAAGTTGCTGACCCCTCGTTTTCCCATCTGTAAGTGGGGCTAGTCATCGTACCTTCCTCCTGGACTTGTGAGCGTTCGGCGAACCGGTCCATGTAAGGTACTTTGAACAGTGCCAGGCACCTATAAGTGCTCCACAATGTTAACCATTGTTTCAGGATTATTTGAGCTTTTAAGAGGATTATTATTGAGGGGCTGGCTAGTTAGCTCAGCTGGTTAGAGTGTGGTGCTGATAACACCACAGGTCTCTATGCCAGCCAGTTGCAAAACAAAGAAACAAACAAACACCAAGAGTTTTATATTGGAAAGGTGCTCGGGCAAAGTGCTCCTGCCATTTACAAGCCCTGTGATTTTCAGCGGGTTACTTAACCTCCTCCCTGCACCGTGGTGGCCTCACCTGTAAAATGGGTGTATATTAATAGCGCCTACTTCATAGGGTTGCTTGTAGAACTAAAAGGTGCTCCAAGTCTTAGAATAGCGCCTGGCATGTATTAAGGATTACATAGATGTTAGCTGCTACCATCATTATCTGTAATTAAAAATTCCACCCAGGGGGCTGGCTGATTAGCTCACTTGGTTAAAGCACAGTGTTGTCTTGTAGAACTAAAAGGTGCTCCAAGTCTTAGAATAGCGCCTGGCATGTATTAAGGATTACACAGATGTTAGCTGCTACCATCATTATCTGTAATTAAAAATTCCACCCAGGGGGCTGGCTGATTAGCTCACTTGGTTAAAGCACAGTGTTGTAACACCAAGATCAAGGGTTCAGACCCTCCTAAAAAAAAAAAAGTTTCACCCAAAGTACCAGTGTGCCATGCAGGTTTATGTTTTCTCTTCTATTCTAATAATGGTGGTCATACCCCAAACTGATTTTAACTTACTAGAGATATTGGCCTCAACTGAAAGAATTATTTCAGGGGTTATCTCAGAAGGTGTCCTGTAATCTGGCTCCAGGGGTTCCTGCTCTCAGGACAAAGTCCAGCTCTTCTGCTTGTTATTTGAGGCCCCACCATGACCTAGTCTTCCCACCATAGCCACGTTCCCATCACAATCACTGGCCTTATCTCTTACCCAAGACAGCCAGGTTCTGTCACTTCCTGGGGAAACAGAAAAACAAGTATAAAGTCTTCACAAGTGCCAGGTGGACCGTGTCCCCCCCATCTTCTCAGAACCTTCTCGTGGTTCCCCAGCACCCTGTGGATAAAGTCAAATCCCCCCCACCATGGCTTTACAAAGCCAGAGAAGAGCTGGCCCTCCCTCAGTCTAACCACAATCCCTCTTGCTTTTTGATTTCTGGCTGCCTGGTCCTCTTTCAGTTCTCCAAAGACCATATGTTTCCTCCTGCCTCAAGCCCTTTGCACCTGCCATTCTCTCTACCTCCCACCCCAGGCCTGACCCACACATTCCCCTTCATTTGATGCCTCACCTTTCAACTTAAATGCTGCCTCCTACAGGAAGTCCTCCCTGACCATTGGCAGAGCCAAGGGCTTCAGAGCCTTGTAACCAGGCCCTGCCGAATCTGTCTCTGTTCTCACTCACAGGAGTTCTATTTTCTAGCCTCACTAGATCTCTTTCAGTTCCTCCTCACAGCAGCAAGATTCTTTCCTCCCTGACTGTGGCATAGCACGTGTGATTTTCTCTGCCTGGAACATTCTTTCCCACCACCCCTTCACCTAACACCTCCTTCAAGTTCCAGCTCACATATGTCCCCTCTTCCAGGAAGCCTCGCCTGATCATCTAGGCTGGGTCATACACATACACTAGGCTCTCAGCTTCCTGTGCTTTCCCTGGCTCTGATCACACTGGGCCTTCCCTCTCTGACCCCTCTGCCTGTGCCTCCCCATCCCAGGCCTGACCCCTCTGCCTGTGCCTCCCCCACCCTGGTCCTGAACCCTCTGCCTGTGCCTCCCCATCCCAGGCCTGACTCCTCTGCCTGTGCCTCCCCCACCCTGGTCCTGAACCCTCTGCCTGTGCCTCCCCCACCCTGGTCCTGAACCCTCTGCCTGTGCTCTTCCTATCACAGCCCTGACCATTTCTGGGCTGTAACTGTCTGATGGCATATCTGTGAGCCCTATGAGGGCAGGGCCCAGGGCCGTCTTAGTCATTGCTATGTCCTCAACCCTGCCTAGCTCAGGGCCCCAGTTAGTGCTCAGTGAATGTTGAATGACTGAATGAGTGACCAATATGCTCCCCATCCCCTAGTGCTATCTGTTTCACATGTATGTGGGTGTCCGGGCTGGCGGAGGCATCGGGGACGAGATTGAGGACCCAGCAGGCGACGAATACGAGCTGTATCGGGTGGTCTTCGACATCACCTTTTTCTTCTTCGTCATTGTCATCCTGCTGGCCATCATCCAGGGTCAGTGCTGGCTGAGGTCATGGGAATGGGTGCTCAGTGCCCAGAGGCAGCCTAGCTCCAGGGCTAAGAGTGCAGGCCTAGGTTCCAGTCTGTCTGGATTCGTATCCCAGCTCTGCTTTTCCCTCCTGTGAGACCTTGGGCAGATCACCTCTCTGAACCTCAATTTCTCCATCTGCAAAATGGACGTATTAATTACTAACCTCATAGAGTTGTTATGAGGATTGTCAATTCATATGAGGATTGTCGATTCATACAGGGTCTGGCTCATAGTAAGTGCTCAATAAATGCCTGGTATATTCTTCTTAGGAAGCAGGGTGAGATTAGGGAGATGGGGGATGGAAGGCAAGGCCCAGAGGTAGGTAGCCAGGAGCAGAGGAGTCTAAACTGGGTCAGAGGTTGAGCACTGACCTGGTGCTGCCACCCCAGGTCTGATCATCGACGCTTTTGGTGAACTCCGAGACCAGCAAGAGCAAGTGAAGGAGGATATGGAGGTTAGTCATGCCTGGGGGCGACCCAAAGGGATTATGGGACCCTAGGGGGTTCAAATGGGCTTCTACTCTGATGTCTCCTGCCACCCCCAGACCAAGTGCTTCATCTGTGGAATCGGCAGCGACTACTTCGATACGACACCACACGGGTTTGAGACACACACGCTAGAGGAGCACAACCTGGCCAATTACATGTGAGAGCGGGCACGCTGGCCAATCAGGAGGATGGGGCGTGGCCGCCGACAGCCAGGGGCGGGGTCCTGGGTCTTGGCCTGTTGAGGAAGGGGGTGTGGTGTCCATGTGGGTGGGTCCCCAGCCAGCCAATCAGAAAGCAAGGGTAGTTCTGACCTGTCTCCTGCGGCCCTCCCACCCTTAGGTTTTTCCTGATGTATCTGATAAACAAGGATGAGACAGAACACACGGGTCAGGTAAGAAAGTGTTAATTCGTTAATGCAAGGACAATGGGCGGGGCGTGGAGAGCTTTCACATAAGGTCAATCAGCAGGTGGCAGTAAAAAGCTCATATCAATACTAAGCATTTGAAGATGTGACCAATGGACTCTTCCCATCCCCCAACCCTAGGAGTCTTACGTCTGGAAGATGTACCAAGAGAGATGTTGGGATTTCTTCCCGGCTGGCGATTGTTTCCGCAAGCAATACGAGGACCAGCTTAGCTGAGACACCCCCACCTGGCCCTCCGTCCCCACCTCAAGTGCCTTATTCTCACGGCAAGCCCCCTTAGCCCCCAAACCCCTCCCCGCAAGGCAACTGGAGGGGAGATGACCTTGTACTGGAGAAATAAAGACTGTGCTACATTTCCTGGCATCACTGTGTTGGGTTGTTGAAATTTTGGGGGAGTGGGCATCCAGAAATTCAGCCTCCCCTACCCCCCAGAAAAACAAGATGACAGCAGAGGCTAAAGTCATGTTTATTGGGAGACAAGGACATGACATAACCACTAGTGTGTGTGTTGGGAGGGGGGTGCAGGGACTGGTTCCTAACACCTCCCTGGGGACTCATTCCTGGATGTAGAGGTTGCTGGGGGCAGTAGGATCATCTGTTGGGCGTGTCTCCACCACTACAGGCCTGGGGAAGAAAGGGAGAAGTCAGTTCATTTGTTAATTCATTTGTTCACAATATAGAATGGACTGAATGAGCAGACATGGTCCCTGCCCTTGGGGAGCTCACAGTCTAGAGAGAGAGACCAACCTGAATCAGTGATTTACATGAGTACAAAGAAGCATGGGCTGCATGACAGGGAAACCTAACCCAGAAGGTCAGCCAAGGCTCCCCCAAATAATGGATGCTAGAGCCTGACGGAGGCTCAGGAAGGAGCTTGGTGAAAAGGCAGGGAAGAGTGTTTTGGGCAGAAAGAACAGCCTGTGCAAAGGCTTTAAGGTGGGAGAGAGGCTGGGGCTTGGCCAGACATGTCATTGCCTTGTGGGCTCTGGCCAGGATTGAATATTTATCTTGAGGCCATAGGAGGAGTTTAAGCAGGACAAAAGTGACATGATCATCTTGGATACGAGTGGTGACAATTAGCTTTGTATCCCATGAATATTCATAACCAATTTAAAAAAAAAGAAGAAGAAAGTGATGTGATCAGATAGTAATTTTTAAAAGACCCCTCTGGCGTGTCACAACAGTACAGAGGCTCCTCAAAGTGGCTCCCACTGGCTAAATCTGAGACTACTTATGCCTCGAAATGAATGATGATAGTAACATGAGGGTACTTCAAAAAATCTGTGTAAAAATTGAATTAAAAGATAATAGGAGGGGCCGGCCCGTGGCTCACTTGGGAGCGTGTGGTGCCGATAGCACCAAGGCCACGGGTTTGGATCCCTATATAGGGATGGCCGGTTAGCTCACTTGGGAGGGTGTGGTGCTGACAACACCAAGTCAAGGGTTAAGATCCCCTTACCGGTCATCTTTAAAAAAAGAAAGATAATAGGAATCCTTCCATGAACTTTCTGAAGTACCCTTATAGATTATAACCCACAGAATAAAACAGAAATCCATGAGACCACGCTGATATAAAGAAATAAATGGTGAAGGGAGAGCTCTTCCCTACTGTAGAGTGGCAACTAATACATTCAGAAAGATGACAGAATTAGAAAATCACCATTTGGTAATCATTCTAATAATAATAGATTCAGGCAACAGTCATTAATAGATTCTAAAAGTAGTGGCTGAAAGTCTGGTGTGAAACAGTATATTTACATAGTCTTAATGAAACTCCCCCAAAGATACTTATTACTACAAAGGGGAAAAAAAGCAACTTTACAGTGGAGAAACCTGGCTGACTCCACCTTAACAAATGATCAAAGTTAACATCACCTGTAATGGGACAAACTGACATCCTGACATGATGCACTGAGGACAACATCACTTCTGTGAAGTTCCTGCCCAACATGCAAAACCTGGAAATCTCAAACCCAACTGAGGGACGTTCTAGAAAATAACTTTCCTGTACTCTGCAAAAATGTTGAGGTCATAAAAGACAAAATAAGTCTGAAGAATTGCTCCAGGTTAAAGACTAAAGAAACATGATGCCTAAATGCAATCCGTGATCCTGGATTGGATCTTGGAGCAGAAAAACATTATTTGTTATACAGGACATCAATGCGACAACGGGTGAGCCTTGAATGGGTGTGTGAATTAGAAGGTTGGGACATCTCAGTGCTGTTTTCTTGACTTTGTCAGCTGCACATTCTTACATATTTGTAAGAATATGTCCTTGCTTTAATTCAGGAAACACACACTGACATATTTAGCGGTATATGGGCATGGTGTCTGCAACTTACTCCCAAATACCCAGAAAAAAATTACACCTCTCCCATGTATGTGTATGTGTGTGTGTTTATATGAAAGAAGATTAAAGCAAATGTGCTGTTTTTGTTTTGTTTCTTTTATGGCTGGCTGGTACAGGGATAATGTGGTTTTTAAAAAAAGCTAACATCTGAGGAATGTAGGTGAAAGGGATACAAGAATTTTTTGTATTATTTTTTGCAAGTCTTCTGTGAGTCAAAAATAGTGTCAAAATAAAACATTAAAATAATTATTTTTAATACTTAAAATGCTAAATAAAATAAAAATATGAAATGAAAATGCCCCCTTGGCTGCCGTGTGGGGAACTGACTATGGGGGCAGGGATGGAAGCAGGGAGACCAGGTGAGAGACTACCCAGGCCAAAGATACAGGTGGCTGGTGACACCTCAGGATGATGCCCTGTCCACATCGGAAGGTCCCCTTTCAGGCCCATCTGTCTCCCTCCCCATGACCATACCTGGGGGAGCCAAGGAGGCGGAAAGTGAGGGTGGGGTCTCTCAGCTCCTGCAGCAGCTGGGGAACAAAGTGTGTGTGTATCAGTGTCTTGAAGACCCTTCCCCTCTCCCCACAAACACAGCTTCCTTAAAGAGAGCAGGGAGAAGTCTCTGAATGACTAGCCTCAGAGCCAGAAATAATCATTCTTGCCAATAACACCCTCCAGCTCAATGACCTCAGGCAAGTTACTTAACCTCTCTGTGCTGCAGATTACTAACCTGTGAAATCATAATTCCTACTTGATAGGTGATTGTGAAAATTAAATAAAATTCTAAAGTGTAAGGGCAGAGTCTGACACAGTGTTTTATGAAATAAGCACATTTCCCCCTCCATTTTCCAAATGAGGACAGTGAGGCACAGGAAGGTTAAATCATTTGTCTAAGGTCACTCAGCTGGATTCCAACCCACACAGCCTGGTCCATGCTCTTAACCATCCACATATCTCTATAGCAACCCCATTTTACAATTGGGAACAGAAGCTAAGAGAGAAGCAAAGTCCCTTGCACAAGGTTGACCGTGGCCCAGGATAAGACCAGGACTCAGGGACCCTGGGGCAGAGAAGGAGATCTGTCTGAAATGAAACTCGAAGCTTCCCCTCCAGGACTTCACATCCTCACTCAAGAGTTCTCCAAGCCCATGTGATGGGTTGGAGTGGAGCTTACCTGATCTGAGCCTGGAGCCCACACCTGCACTCCATGCTTCCAGAAGGCCTGAAGCCGACCTCCAACCATAGCTGAGGAAAAAGCAGTGCCTGTTACTCTTGGGGACCACTTGATCCTCCACCCCTGACCCTGGGCCCTCAGATCCCTGCACATACCTACGGCCTCCACTGCTTCAGTCATAGGGATCTCAGGTGTGCGAAGCCCCTTGACTGGGGCCCCCTCTGGGGTCACCAGCTTCAGAGAGCCTGTAAGAGGGTAGAGAGAGGACTTTAAGAACTGTGAGCAGTACTTAAAGGGTTACTAAGGAACCAGGCAATAAATTCAGTGTGAAAAGCTAAGAAGGACAAGGACAGGGGTAAGGTCTGGAAGGGCTCAGTGTTTCTGAAAGGCATAAGGTCTGTGGGTGGGGATCCAGGGACAGAAGTGTGGGGAAGGGGAGGGAGGAGTGTTCTTACCGTCCACCAACACCATCACCATGTCTTCCTGTACCTGGCTCACCTGCACTGGTCCCGTGTGCTCTGTTTGAGGGGGTGGTTAAGGACCAACTCCGCCCTATTCCCCTTTCCTCACACTACCCCCAGAAAGCCAGTCTCTCTGTTCGGCACCCCCTCAGTTCCCAAGCCAGCAGACTAAATCCCGCCCACCGTCCAGGCTCCACTCCTACATCAATCTCACCAATGAAATAAGACCTGCCATTCCCCCCATCCACCGCCCTGCCGGTTCCACCCTCTCTC